TATTTATTTAGACTGAAAGGTCCAGTAGAAAACAATTTCAATTATTTGATCAGTCGGTAGTCGTCAAGTGAACACCTAATTATAAAATAATATTATAATTTATTAAAATTATACAATAACATAGGTTTGGGATACCTTATCAATGATGACATTTGGTGCAATCAGTACAACAATAAATGTTGAATTTGAAGATGTTCGATTTTTGCGAGCTACAACAATTTCAACGGGCCAAAAAGTCGATTTAAACATAATGATTCACTATGGCAATGGTCAATTTGAAATCAGCGAAAATGCAGTCACTGTAGTATCTGGAATAGTTCGTAATGTTGAAACCGCAGGGCCAAATAATGAAGAGGTCGAAAATTTCAAAGGTGGTTTTAATGTCCTTGAGAAGAAAGACTTCTACAAAGAGCTTCGATTGCGTGGTTATCACTACCAGAATTTATTCCAGGGTGTCGAAAAAGCACAAGGAGATGGATTGAAAGCGATTATTAAATGGAACAAAAACTGGCCATGCTTCTTAGATACAATGCTTCAATTGATTATATTGGCAAAAGATTCGCGTTCGTTATATTTGCCAACTCGGATTCGACGAATTCGAATTGATTCCAAAAAACAGAGAGTTGCACTGAACAGCACCTGTGACGCATTGCTGGTCGCATCGTATGATCCCGAAATAAAGATGATTAAATGCGGTGGAGTGGAAATCTGTGACATGAGTGTGAATGTGATTGCGCGTCGCAAACCAACGGGCTCAGAAGTCTTCGAGTCATATCGGTTCTTACCGTTAGTCCCAAGTGAAACTCTAACCATTGCCAATGGCGTTCATGTTTTAACTCAGATCATCACTGAAAATTTGATCAACCTACCAAAATTGAAAATCATTGAAATCCATTCGAAAAATGTTGCGCCAATCATACCGTTGTTCGATGAATCAATCGCAAAAAGTCCCCTCATCAAAGGTGATTTACGATTTCTGACCGAACAACCAGATCTTTTCTTCGAAAATGTTATATCATTGAGAAACACACGAGTTTCCGCTTTGAAAGGTTACACTCTAACAATCGCAATGGATAATGCTACGAGCCAAGTGGAAGAGGTTCTTAAATCGATTGGAGAGCAATCATTCTTACTTGTGCGAAAAAGTGGAAATGCCACATTCACTGAAGTACCAACGGATTTCAATATGATTACGGCCATTCCGACCGAAAACGAAACGTTGGTACTGCTTCAACGTAAACCAGCTGCGAAACCCGTCGATACACCCGTTGTTGTTGTAGAGGTATTATCAACAGACTATAATTATAAATGGCTCGAAGTGGTCAAAGCCAACATTAAAACGGGTCCTGTATTGCTTGTTGCTCAAAATGATCAAACACCCGGTTTATTGGGACTTGTGAATTGTCTGCGACGTGAACCAGGTGGAGAGAATGTTCGTTGTGTCATCATTATGGATCGGTTGTTACCGAAATTTGATTTCGATAATAGTTTGTATGCGTCTCAGTTGGAGCTAGGATTGGCGGTGAATGTTTATCGTAATTCGGTTTGGGGAACTTATCGATATTTTGAACTAAAACCAAGCCTACAAGAGACCACACGCTTGGATCATGTGTATGCCAATGTCCAGAGAATTGGTGATTTGTCATCGTTCGATTGGTTTAATGGATCGCTGAAACCAACCGTAGATAGATTAGTGAACGTTCATTATTCGTCGATTAACTTCCGAGATGTGATGTTGGCTTCCGGTCGACTTTCATTGGAATTTTGTCGTGGTTCTCGCATCGAAGATGATTGTGTACTTGGATTGGAATTCTCTGGAATCAATTCGAATGGTGATCGTGTGATGGGAATGGTTAAATCAGGATCAATGGCAACACAGGTATTATCACAGGAGCATTTAACATGGATCATTCCCGAAGATTGGTCATTACGTGATGCTGCTACAATTCCAGCCGTTTGTAAATATATTGGAAATTATATTTAGAAGTTAAAATTTATTTTTATTTTATTTAGAATAAAATTATTATTTAAAATATTTAAATTAAGTTAAAATTTAAATATATTTATTTAATTTTTATTTTTTGAAAAAAAAATAATAATTTATTTATATAATATATTTATAAAGTATTTTTAAAAGAAATTTTTATTATTAATATAAATTAATTGAAAAATTAATTATATTTTTTTTTAAATAATAATTAAATTTTAGATATCACCGTTTATTATGCATACTTCTTTGGAAAATCTGTTATGCGTAACAATTCGATTTTGATTCATGCGGGTAGTGGTGGAATTGGCTTGGCAGCAATTCGGATAGCTCTAGCCTATGGTAAGCTCTTTTTTTTCTTCATATGAAATATACAGTTAAGTAACAAGCTTTTTATTTATTTGAAAGGTCTGGAAGTTTTTACAACTGTTTCGACGCAACAAAAGCGAAAGTTTATTTTGGGCTTGTTCCCGCAACTTAAAGGTGGCATATATTTTATTTTCGTCATTCACTCATTTTCACATCAAATCCGTTACTATTATTTCTATTCTTTTCAATTCTTCCAGAGGAAAATATTGGTAATTCACGTGATTGTTCATTCGAACAGTTGGTGATGCGACGTACCAAAGGTATTACACACAATATTCATCTATTTGAATTTTCTTTGAAAAATACTTAACATATTTTCATACTTTACATCAATGATAGGTCGAGGAGTTGATTTCGTATTAAATTCACTATCGGATGATAAACTGGCAGCATCAGTTCGTTGTTTGGCCCGAGGTGGCACATTTCTGGAGATCGGAAAATTCGACATCATGAATAATTCGTCGCTGGGAATGAGTGCATTCCAAAATGAAACAACATTCAGAGCCGTGTTTGCCGATAATTTAATTGATATGCCCGAAGAACGTAAAATTATCTATGAATTGATTGACAAAGATTTGAGAACGGGAATCATTCAACCACTTCATTCGACTGCATTCCAAGTCAATGAAATTGAACAGGCTTATCGTTACATGAGCACGGGTAAGTTTTCTTCTTCATATTTCATGAACTGTACAGAGATAAAATGAGCTTTTTATTTATTTGAAAGGTAAACATGTTGGAAAAGTGATGATTCAAATGCGAGAATTAGAGCATTCATTAGCGTCAGTTCCAATTAAAGTAAATCCAAAGCTTTACTGCAAACCAGATTTAGTTTATATTGTAGCGGGTGGTTTGGGTGGCTTTGGATTGGAATTTTGCGATTGGCTTGTAGTTCGTGGTGCTAGAAATTTGGTTCTCAATTCAAGACGTGGAATCACCACCACATATCAAGCATATAGAATTAGGTTAAGTATTATAATAAGAAACATATTTTTACATGTATGTATGTAATTAACATTTTCTTCTTCTCATACTGAATAGTCTATGGGAGTCATATGGTTGTCAAGTGGTTGTGAACACAGCCGACATTGGTTCTTATCAAGGTGCCAAGAGTTTGCTTGTCGACTCATTAATATACGGCCAAATTGGTGGTATTTTCAATTTGGCTGTTGTACTTCGCGACAGTATTTTGGATAATCAAAGTGTCGAGAAATACCGAGAATGCATAGCTCCAAAAGCCATTGCAACCAGATACTTCAATGAATTATCGCGAATTTTATGCCCGAAGTTGGAACATTTTGTTGTTTTCTCAAGTGCATCAAGTCGTGGCAATGCTGGTCAGTCAAATTACGGAATGGCAAATTCAATCATGGAACGAATCATTGAACAGCGTGTACAGGATAAATTACCAGGCAAAGCAATCCAATGGGGTGCAATCGGTGAAGTTGGCCTCGTCGCTGAAATGTCAAAAGGAAAAGACATTGAAGTTGCAGGAACGCTACAACAACGGATTAGCTCGTGTTTAAATGCATTGGACCTTCTACTCACATCACCACAAGCTGTTGTTTCCAGTGTGGTTGTGGCTGATAAAAGTGGCGGTGAAATGGGTCAAGACGGTCAATTGACGCTCATCAAAAGTGTCATGAAAATTATGGGCATTCGCGATATTAAGGCAATTTCGAAAAATGCTTCATTGGCCGAATTGGGCATGGATAGCTTAATGTCGGTTGAAATCAAACAAGTGCTGGAACGTGAATTTGATGTGTTTCTTACAGCGCAACAGCTACGCTCAGTCACATTTGCCAAATTGGAAGAACTCTCGGGTACTGGTGCTGGCGGAAAACTTGAAACCGAAGAACCCAGCAAACATAAAATACCAACAAAGAAATTATTTGAAAATTTAGGCGATGAAAGTGTTAGCGGCGTTACACTCTTACCTATAAATAGTCTCAAAGGAAAATCCCCACAAATTGTTTTCGTTCCAGGTTAGTCTAGAAATGATGAATGTTGGTCGTTTCGATTTTTAAAAAAATATTTTCAATCGATTAACTTTAAGGTATCGAAGGTGTTGCTAGTCCAACGTGGCATGGTCTCGGCGCAAATATGGTAAGTTAAAAGATTTACTTCCTTTGTATATGGGCTATATGTTTGTTTTTTATATTTCATTCTTTCAGAAAACACCTAGTAAAGTTCTCCAATTCATGAAGTCACAACATTTAACTGATTTGAATGCGGTCGTAAACTCAGTATTCGATGAGGTGTATCAAATTTTTTCCAATCAAGCGGAATATTGTATTGTAGGCCATTCGTTTGGCTCATTGATTGCATTAAAAGTAGCCTCAATGCTTGAGAAATTAGGCAAAGTGGGGCGTGTAATTTTGATTGACGGTTCACCCGAATACTTGTTTAGATTATCAGAAGGATTACATCGATCTACCCAGACTGGAAATCATGAAAATGATCTTATTATGATATTATTCACTCATTTCTGTAGTTCAGAGTTTCTCGATGATTTTATTAAAAAACTACAAGCTTGCGATAATTTGTCGTTAAAAATCGATTTGATCAGCACGTATATGTCAACTGAATTCAAAACCAATTATTCGAAAAAATATATAAACGACATTACTGTGGCTATTTTGAATCGACTGAAAATTATCATGAGCATGAGCGAAAACAAAGACGCAATGTACGGCATTATGGATGTAAAATTGAAATCACCAATCACATTAATTCGACCCACACAGGCTTCGTTTGCCGATATTGTTGAAGATTATGATCTACGAAAGTATTCGGAACAAGAAATAACCATCAAATATATAGAAGGACATCATTTATCTGTGCTCGAAAATATCGAACTCACAAACATTCTGAATAATATATCTTCACAATATACAAATGCATCGTAACATCATGAGTTGAATTACGGGTTACTGGCGGGATATTAAGGTTAACTTATAGTGAATGGAAGCCGATGGAAGCTTAATTTATATTTTCTAAGTAAGATGTATTAAGAGTAATAAATGTAACAAAAATAAAATGTCTTACATCCGTAAGATGAACTTTTCCGCACTGTCATCCACAACATTCATCTATTACATATTTTTTACTGTAAATTTGAATTCTCGAGAAAAGTGAATCTGACAATTCTTACAAAAGTTTCTAAAAATGGGAAACTTTGTATGGTTTTAATGCCTGTATGATATTGTAGCCAACATTCTGAAAGTTTGAAGAAATTTCAATACAATTTAGGGGTACCTTCCATACACAAATTTCGTTTTTGAGCAATATATAGGTTTGAATTCGCGTACTAAAATTTGTCCTTCTGGTGAGAATTCACTATAAAAATAAATCGAACTTGAATCAATCAATAACACCGTTTAGTTTCATTATCATTCATATTCATTAATCATGTATAATTTACTTGCAAATCGATGATAGGAAAAGTTGGAGGAATATGAACCATACCAATAAAAACCATTGTTGTATGCTCCACGCTGATGATTCGCTTATATAATGGCTGAACTAATTTCTTATCAATATAAACACCAGAGTCGACACTTAAACATGTAATTAATACAAGAGTGAATGTTATTTTTTGAATTTTCAAAAGGAAAAATGTCAACCTGTTGCAAAGAACACCACATCAATTGTTTCATGGGATCCATCGATATTTTATTTATTTGCTAAAAATCAATCAATTTGGATCATCTATGTTGAGCATCATTAAAATATTTTACTATTTAACATTTCGTTGAACATACATTTCGTGATCGTCGCAGAATTCAACTTTGATATCTAAAATCATTCCCGAGTACACCGGCGGCGCTCTTCACAGAGCGTGTGCACTCTTATTGACGCTCTACTGAATTTCTTTTTATTCATCTTCTTTACAATATAAGCAGCAACGAAGAAGAGCTGTGTACGAAATATATACAAGAACTAATGCAATGGTTACTAGATTTGTAGTAAGTCACTCGCACTGTGTTTGTTGCTGTGTATGATATAGCTCTTCTTCGTCGCTGCTTATAATGTAAAGAAGATGAATAAAAAGAAATTCAGAAGAGCGTCAGTAAGAGCGCACACGCTCTGTAAAGAGCGTCGCCGGTATACTCGGGTTCTAATCATTAACTAAATTATTTTAGATTTTTACGTATTTATCTGTATAGGTGGTGTTTAGATATTAATAAATTATATGAAAAAATCAGCTATCAATTCAGTTAGACATAAGTTTCAAAAAATCCAAATCAATGTTTTCATTATAACAAAAAGTCCTTCAGTATAGAATGGGCCATTTTAAAATGGTATATACAACACACATCTACTGACAACTGATAACTCTTATACACAGATGATTTCTGCATATATCAATATAATTCACAAACGTTTGTATTCACTATCCGACGTGAATAAATTCACTTTTGATTGTACGTTCGATTCAAACAGTTGTTTATATTATTGTGCAACTATAATATTCACGACTATCGTATTAGCAGTTCTTTCAGTGAAAATCAAACACATATGTCATATTTGTATTCCTAGTTTCATTTTATTCATTGAATGAAAAGATCTTTCATTTAACATGATAAAAAAGTTAAAAATTTCATTTTTTTTACTCGTGATTATTTACTCTTTATTGGTAAACTTTAATCAATATGGTAAGTGTATGTGATTATTTGAAATGCAATACTTTTCACGAAATTAAATGCATTTCTATATAAATTATAAAATACAAACTGCCAATTTACTTGCGAGAAATGATTGTATCGATGTATAAACGAATTGAATTTAAAATGCAATAACTTTCTCATCAGTCAAACAAAACTAATAAAATTGATCGATGGTAAAACTTGGTGTTACACAATAAATAATCTCTATCATCTAAACTTGACATATTTTAATGTGGTTGAGGAAGGTCATGTATTTGTTTGCCGGTATATACCTGAATAACATGAATACTTGTTTGATATGTAAATTAATTATACGGTTCCATCAAATGTGAAGACAACACTGAAATAAAAGTGAAAGAGAAAAAATCGAAATAAAATTGATCCATTCCAATTTTTGTATGCGTTCAGTTGTAGTTGTGTGCGTTTTTATTAATTTAAAATTTGGCGCTGAAACAATACAAAATGTGAAAGAATGCGTCTTTTTTTACATTATAGAGCTAAAATTTGCATTATCTTCATATTAGCGAATCTCAAATTAATAAATAATAATAATAATATAAATGATAATTTGTATGTAGAATTTATTGAACTAACATCATTGATTATTGTTACAGAAGCGCAAATTGCACCATTGGAAGAATTCCATACATTTTTGGAAAAATGTTTGCACAAACATGTTTTGGAGTACATAGTAAAGCCTCTAACAAGGCCTGGCGATAATTTTGCATCTGTGATACAGGCGCTTGAAGTGAAAACAATCAACAACAATGATCCAACTGAAGTATTATCACATCGTGTAACCAAATGATTATTGTATGTAAAGTTGAAATTTTTTTATTTGCAGATTGAAATGTTGAATTTGGTATTTAAAAAACCAATTCCAGGTTTTGTGAATACATACCAATCCGAACAATTTTTGAGTGAAGTACATTTTTATACGGATATTATTCCAGCAATAAAACAATTTGAAGAAAGTTTAAATATTCCCGAGACAGAAAGGATTGAGGCATTTGCACGGTATTTTGGATCAAGAATATCCTTGAATCCAGGTATTTTTCAAGAATCTAATGTATGTATATAACTTTCAGTAGAAATAAATTTTGGCTTTCAAATTCCAGGTGCTGAACGTGTTGATATGGATGCAATAATACTTTTTGAAAATCTCAAATCACTCAATTACCATAGTCCAAGTCAATTTGATAAAGATGACATTTTTGCAATTTTAAAAGTAATGTAACACTACTGAGTAAGTACTACTTAAGAAATTGTAACCGAAACTCTTTTTTTTAGATATTAGCGAAATTGCATGCATTGTGTATTGCAATGAGACGTCTGCAGCCACATTTATTCTATTCGAACGTTGATCCATACTTGCATAATGTTTATAGTCGTTCGTTTCTTGACACTATTAAATTCACAATAACGGATGTAAGGTTTCTTAAGAAAAAAAAAATGACGCATTTGACTGTGATATACTGTTACTCAATTCATTATATCAGTTTTTAACAGTTTAATCACATCATTCGCGTCGTTTTTTTGTTGCTTACTGCATCGTGAAATAATAGTATACCGAAGATTTTTCTTTAATTAGAAATTTATCGAGAAGGAATTAGCAAATTTCTCAGAAATGCCGAAAAGTGTTCAAATCGCGATCAAGGATTTAATCAAACTTTGTAAGAATTTGTTAAGAAATCAGAATCGTATTCCGGATACGCCATATACAACGTTTTATCATACAGATTTATGGTCGAAAAACATTCTGATTAAAAAGGGTAAATTTTTATCAATAAGTTGTTTTACATTCATTTCAAATAATCAACATCAACTTTTCAGATGGTACCAATAAAAATTACACTCAAGTTAAAATAGTGGACTTTCAATTATATCGCTATGACACATTCGTACATGATTTAGTACAATTTTTACTTATAAATGCTCGTATCAACGATTTGAAAACCAATTTTAAGTCATTTATCGAATACTATCATTTGGAATTTGTGAAAACGATGCGGTACACCAATTGCCCGTTGAACGATTACACGTACGAAAAGTGAGTCAAATATTTCATCAGATATTTTATGTTAATTTTTAGTTTTGAATCAACTGTATACTTAAACTAATTTAATATTGAAATAAATTTTTAATTTAATTTCAATTTAGGATATGGAAAGAAATCAAGGATAAAGCGAAATATAATTTATTGGATTTATATTATTATTTGGCTAAACGTACTATTATCTGGGTTTTTTACATGGAGCAGCCAACACCAAAAGCTATTGTAAACCGATTAAAATGTATTAATGATTTATATGTTGAAAATGGATTGATTTAAAACTGAACGAAATAAATTATAATGAAATTGTCATATGACTCAATTTTGGCGTTTGGAATCAAAAGATTGTTTTTGTTTACTAAAACAAAATGAAGAGCAAATTGAAATACAGGAATAATGAATATATACGAGGGTCACTATTTAAGTTTTTTCAAAAACATATATAAGACAATGGGGTTTCATCGAAAATGGTTTTATTGTTTTTCAAAATATTCGCCATGATGATCAATACACTTTTGCATTCGCTCGAACCATTTGTCATAGCATTCATGCCACTCCGAAAGTGATATCTCCAAAACGTGTGTTTTGAACGCATCAACTGCTTCTTCGGGCGGTGAAAATCGTTGACCACGCAGTTTATTCTTCACGCTCGGGAATAAAAAGAAATCGTTGGGTGCCAAATCAGGACTGTACGGCGGATGACCCATTAAATCGATCTTTTGACCGGTCAAATAATCGACTGTTTGATGAGATGTGTGAGAGCTCGCATTATCATGATGAAGAATTATTTTGCGACGGCGGTTGTTTTTTCTTATTTCACCAAACACTTCGGGCAAACAAATGGTGGTGTACCAATCAGAATTGACGGTCTTACGAGCCTCTAGTGGAACTGTTGCCACATGACCACTTATCGCGAAAAAACAGGCGACCATTTGCTTCGCAACACTTCGAGCTCGAACAACTTTTGTTGGGTTATCTTCACTTTGAAAGACCCATACAGTCGACTGCTGTTTAGTTTCGGGCTCATACGCGTAGATCCATTATTCGTCACCAGTGACGATAAAATACACGGATTTTGAAACACCACGATTGAATTTCTTGAGCATTTGTTTACACCAATCGACACGAGCCTTTTTTTGAGCGATTGTCAAATTATGTGGTATCCAACAAGAGCAATTCTTTCTGACAGCTAAATGTTCATGTAAAATCTTAAATACGCTGGTCGCACTTATGCCCAGGGATGCCTCAATCTCGTGATATGTTACATGACGATCTTCCATTATCATATTTCTGACAGCATCGATGTTTTCTGGTACAACAACTGATTTTGGACGACCTTCGCGGAACTCGTCGATGAGCGATAGGCGACCGCGCTTGAATTCGTTGTACCAATTATAAATTGTCCGAAGACTTGGTACTTCATCGCCAAAGGCCAAATGAAGTTGATCAAAACACTGTTGTTGTGATACACCCAATCGAAAGTGGAAAAAAATAATCGCTCGAAAATTTTCACGAGTAAAATTCATTTTTTGGCTGAGACGCAATTTACATGTTACGGTAAACAATACAAATAACGATCGAATGACAAAACGTTCTGAGAACGTTTATGCTACAAAATGTTAAACTTAACGAATATGACAATGGTTTGCATCGGGCAATACTAAAACATACATATTGAAGAAACTTAAATAGTCGCCTACGTATAATGACGCAATACCCCTATACATATGAAATATGTATATTTTGCGTCACTCTATGTATACGTTAAAGACATGAAAATCTAGACCGCTGACTTTTGTAAAGGTTTTTTTTTTGCATATCTTAGTAGTGCTCGGGCACCAAATTAAGAATCCGCAAAAAAAATTAAAAATTTCAAAATTTGGCCAGGTGGAGTTTTGAAAAAATCGCTGAAAATTCCTTTTTTTCGATTTTTGTCCACCGAAATGATTTTTTCGAAATTTTTTTGGCCATATTCGGAATCTAGAGACTGCGTAGATAATGTTAAAAAAAAGATCATGACGATCGGTTGAAAAGTGGCCGAGATATGGTCATTTGGCCAAAAACCTCAAAATTGGCCGAGTGGTATGTTTGTATGTACACTTTTTTCTCCGTACTTTTTGAAAAACGTTTTGAAACCAATTTTTATTCAAAGTAGTTGGAAAACTGAGAATACATGTGCTTTTGAAATTTTCGATTTCGTCTCGCATGTCTTCCGGGTCTACAAAATGGAAAAAATTTCAAAAATGTCCACCAGGAGGCGTGTTATGTGACATTTTCGGCGACAAATGACCATGACTTTTTTCACGTAATCCAAATTAAAAAAAAAAATTGTCTATGAAAAAAATCAAAAAACTAGGCGTTTGTTGGATACTAAATATGTGATGTTTTGGCACATGTGTCATATCTGGGAAAATTCGTTTTAAGAAAAAATTTCATTCCGAAGTTCAAATTTTTTTTCGGCAAATTTTCAATTTTTAGGCCATTTTTGATCACAGGTATACGGGGTGTTTTTCAACAGAATCACGCCATTCTTGGCTTATTGGAAAGATATTAAGCTCATCTTGATGAAGCAATAAAGACATTTTGAAAAAAAATTCAGCGGAAAGAGTTAGATCAGTATGATCAGACTTCAAAAACTGGGGAAAAATCGATGAAAATCGAAGTTAATCGACATTTATCTCGGAAAAAAGTATGACTGGCTTGGCTTTTTTCCTCATAGATCGAAAGCGCACTCAATTTTGAGGCGATCTGCAGATTTTAAAACGACAACATTCTTTTATTTGGTGAAAATGGGTAAAAGTGTGAACTTAAGCGGTCACCTATATTTTAATATCTTAGTAATCCACTGTAATGTGCTTGGTTTTTACTTTGTTTGTTCACTTTGACAACTGATTTTACATAATTCGGACTCGAGGAATTCAATGGTGGCAACCGTTTTGAGAAATTAGTTCAATTTTTTGCTATGAAAAATTGGTTTTTATTCGATTGCTATGAAAATTGGTATTTGGGGGTTTTTTGGTACGAGAAAACCGAATCTGACATTTATTTTACGATAAAATCAGGTCTCAACACACTTAGGGTTAGCATTTTGTCATCAACATACTAAAAAAAACTATTGATATAAGTGACGCAATACTGTAAATCTGAAAATGTTCTGATATAAATTTTCAGTGACGCGCTCACTCAAATATGTACAAAATGTTATTATTGCGTCGCCTCTTTCGCCGCGAAAAAATATGGAAACGTACACTCTTTGTAAAAATACTGAACCGTTCTCCCATTTATTTAAAATTGTATATACTTGCAGCGGCTCAGTATTTTTATGGACATATTACAAAAAATTAAAATTGAAAATAATTGCTTCAGAGTAAAAAACAGCAGATTTTTCGTTCAAAGTGAAATATAAGTTATTCAAAAATAAAGACGCTCTGTTAAATAACGCTCTCAAAAATAAAGACGCATGTCAATCATTTTGTGTTTGCATTTTAGAGGCGACGCAATAAGATAAAATGTCTTACATCCGTAAGATGAACTTTTCCGCACTGTGATCCACAACATGCATTTATTACATATCTTTTACCGTAAATATGAATTCATGAGAAAACTGAATCTGATATAAGTTTTGCGATTCAAATAATTTTCGACGTACTTTTCATACAAAAATGATCAAAAATGGTAATTTTTGTATCGAATCAATAATCAATGCCTGTATGATGTCGTAACGACGTGAAACTTTGCACAGGGTATTTTTCCATAAAAAGCTGACATTCTGAAAGTTTGAAAAAATTTCAATACAATTTAAGGGTACCTTCCATCAAACTATGTTATATTTGTACGGTATACAAATTTGTATTCGATGACGCATCTTAGCATGCGTAAGTCGCTTGCAAACGAACCAAGTAAATAGCGGAGACGCACGAAAACGAAGTGAGTGAATAGCGGCAACGGATAACTCGTGTTTGATCGAAAAATCTAAAATTTTGTTCGGGAGGTACCCCAATATGCATTGAACTCTCAAAATTCTTCAAACTCCCAAAATGTTATTTTTATGTCATAAAAATAACCTGTGCAAAGTTTCAGCTCACTACGATACAGACATGGCTTCCATACAAAAATCCAAATTTTTTGAAATTTTTGTATGAAAAGTGTGTCGATAATTATTTGTATCGCAAAACTTATGTCATATTCGGTTTTCTCGTACCCAAAAACCCCCTAATACATATTTTTGAGTGTTTAAGAATACATTTAAAACGACTTTTGGAAGAAAAATTGAATTTTTCCCATGGGCATCACACCAGACATGACACGTCACTCTATCAACCAAAGTCACTCAAAATCTAATGGTTGCTATTCCTCGGGACCCCCAATCATCCTGTGAAGTCAGATTTTGAATTACTTTTTTTGTTTGAAAGTTATCGTGTTAACAAATTTTTGCGTACAGGGTACAGCGTACAGGGTACAGGGTACGCATATACATTCGGACATCGAAAAAACGCTAGATTCGTGTTCCCTAGCCTCCAAAACACCCAGAAAACATGTTTTTTGAGGGTGTTAATTTTTCGACCGATTCCAATACTTTACCTTACACACTAGGTGTGTGCGGAAAAGTAAAAAGATTTTTATAAAATTGATGTTTTTTTTTTAGATAAATTGGTTTAATATGGCAATGTATACATTTTTTCTTCAAGTATTTGGTTCACTTGTTAAGTTTTGTATTGTATTATTTTGGTGTGTCCAATAGACCAAGAGCCACTCTAACAAGTAACTTTTTTTTTTGCTTTATGTCAGTAAACTATATTGAACCATGTAGCTAGACATACACTAAACAAATAATTTTACGTTTATTACTTCAGCTATCCACTTCGCGAAATCTGCACTATTATTCGCGGATAGAAAACACATCAATTAATAAAGCGAGCTGCATGTTTGATTTTCTGGAATATATTTTGTTTTTGCTCAAAGATTCTTCGATTAAAATTTCTGCATGAAATTCCGCATTGTTTACAAAATCTGCATGAATGAATTATGTAAAAATCATTGATAGTTTTTTTTTACATAATTCATTCATGCAGATTTTGTAAACA